TAACATCGCCATTTCTAATGTCACTGGCGGGGATTTCTGAGAATCTCCGTGGAGAGGGATACGTACGCCCATTTTTCCATGATAATGTACAAAGGATGGTTCTCGTTTTGATGATGACATCTGTAACCTTTTGTTTTTAAATTGAACTCACAAATCATGGCCATCCATTTAAAGTGGCATCATAAGTCAAAAGGAGACTACTTAGAAGCCCGTTGTGACACCACCATCAAAGTCTAATTACATAATGGCCACGGTATAAACACGGCGCACAGCCCGCAGGCATGTCACGAGGGGCTGTTGCTTCCTCTAGGCTGAAGTCACTTGGCATCGCGCTCCTTCTCCCAGGCTCCTAAGGTGTGGTAATATCTGTGACTCATGAATTGTCCTTTCATGGCTGCACCCACTACACAATTTCCACCATCAGATGTGCTATTGGGTTCTTACTTCATTCGTTTACTGCATACAAATGCCATCACAGTAAATGCCACGCTTACTAAGGCAAATCAGTGGGGTCCACTTGCCAGATGTGTGTAGAGGGCCGCCTGGGAAGGCACATGGGCATTTCTTGTAATTGTTGCCAGCTGAGACCGAGAGGATTGGCAGAGCCGCATCTAGGATACACATTTCCCCAAGATGGCAGAGTGTAATCAGCGTGGCCTTTGTATCAGCCCAGGGGTGGGCAGGGGTGGGACTAGGTGTGTAAATCTGGGCTTATAAAAATAAATGAGCTGCGTGGTTCCAGGCCCTCATCATTGCAGCCTCTCCACCAGAGAGAATGGACGGTGTCCCACCCATCTCCCAGCTTTAAATCTATCTCTGTGTCTTCTCTCTTTATTTCTATTATTTCTCAATCTCTGGCTCCACTTAGAACCGCTTCGTTCATCTCTCTTTCCGTGCAGGATGTGGGAAAGGGAGATCCCCGCCATATCTGGCCTCTGCCGCATCAGGCCCCCACAGATATGACCTACCAGTAAAAAGGTGGGGGGGGGAGCCGAAACCGGTTTGGCTTAGTGGATAGTCAACCTGCGACTGAAGGGTCCCAGGTTCGATTCCGGCCAAGGGCACGTACCTTGGTTGCGGAAACATTCCCAGTAGGGGATGTGCAAGGGGCAGCTGATTGATGATTCTCTCTCATAGATGTTTCTAACTCTCTATCCCTGTCTCTTCCTCTCTGTAAAAAAAAAAAAAAAAATCAATAAAATATATATATTTTTTAAAAGGTGGGGGTTGGGGGAGAGAATCTAGTGAAATGATCTCAATGGTTTCATTTACATAAAGAAGAGAAATAAAGGTGGGTTTATCTACTACCCTAAAAATCCAACCAGAGGCAACCTGTGGACTAGGAAGAGGGCCTTGCTATGTTAGCACCCTGAAACTGATGGCCTACAAAGGGGGACCCAGAGGGTGCTCACTCTGACTGAATGGAAGAGAGCAATGAGGCGAGGGGCTAGGTAGGCAAGAAGCTCCTTTAGAGGAGCAGGTGAACCCCGATACCTCTTCTACAAAATGAGATCGGGGAGCCAGAAGGTCTGCAGCCTCCCTCTGATGTCCCAAGTGCATGTGCATGTGCACGGAGACTGTGCCATGGCAGAGGGCAAGCAGGGTGTCAGGCCCCCCAGGATCCATCCTGGTCCACAGGAGTGGGGAGTGGGCGGGGCCTCAGGTTCTCCTAGTCTGGGCCCTCTTGGGCCTGGAGGCAGAGAAGAGTGGCAGCAGGCAGTCAGCTCCTGGGAGGAGCCCCAGGGCAGATGTAGCACTTCTCACTACCTTCACTGTTCCCTCACGAAGAGCATCTGGAACATATTTCATGGCACACAAGAAGCATGCATCTCACGACTCCAGCACATGCTGTACGTGCTACTTGGGATAAAATGTTCTGTCTTCTGAACGTCTTCGCAGGGCTCGCTGCTGTAGAGAACACACTGCACCTCGCACATCCCCATGGATGTTTGGAAGAGGCCGACCAAAACACCCAGAATGCCCAGGGGAAGCAGACTGTCACCAGAACTTGCTTTCACCAAGGCCCTCACGTCAAAGAAGGTTCTCCAGGACCGGGAGCAATGGCAGGAAAATGGGCCCTTTTGAGTGAAATGCTGCAAGTGAGCACCGGGGTATGAAGCAAAGTGAGCTGCAGCTACACCGAGAAGTGAGAAACACTGGGATCAGTCATCTACTGCCTCCCCTTTCATGTCTGCCTCTGTCCCCCCGTTCTGTCTCCTCTTCAGTACCTGAGCCACAGCCCCCACACCTCCCCAGCACCCCACACGTATGCCAGTCAGTCTTCAAAGCATCCCTCCAAAATTCCGGTCCTTCCGGTCAGCTTTTGGGGAAGAAATTACATCACAATTTTAGTCACACTAAAAGCTGAAATCTGAGTACAGCCAAACTCTTCCTTTCAGAGGTGTTCGCATTGTAGGAGACAGCAGGGCAGAAAACTAGTCCTCAGTGATGGGTGTACAGGTCACCTGGCTAACACAGACATGGGGCCATCCGTGGGCTTTTCAGGTCTAGACATGTGAGCCATAACCCACGGGAAACTGTGGCAACCACTATCTGTCCGTGTATGTTGGTCAGCTGTGTTTGCTCTAGCGACTGGAGATGTGCTTGAGAGCATATTATGGCATAGCGACACACATGTTTTCTTAAGTCCCCCTGCTTTGGTCAACTACTGACATGCCAGGTCAACAGGCTCCTAATTATTATTTTTTTTAATTTTCACTATGAATTTTATTTTTGTGTTACTGGAAATGGTAAAACTGAGTGGGACTTCTACGCAGCTTATCCTCATCAGTGAATCAGCCCAGCAGACAACTGTGGAACAGGCTTCAAACATGCAAGTGACCAAGATAGAGAAACAGCACTAACCCATATATTGGCTTACAAACACTTTTCAGTTTGACCTGATAATGTAAGTGACTAAATAAAAATTTTAAATTATGGCAGGCCTGAAAAAAAAAAAAAAGTAAAGACCTGCATTTTTTTGCTTATTACTACTTTGGAATCCATAAAGACGCAACTACGCTAAAAGGACATTTCCCACCTGGCCAGAGTGGCCCAGTGGTTAAGCTTCAACCTATAAATCAGGAGGTCACGGTTGGATTCTGGGTCAGGGCACATCCCCAGTAGGGTGTGGGGGTGAGGAGAGCATGCAGGAGGCAGCCAATCAATGGTTCTCATCGTTGACATTTCTATTTCTCTCTCCCTCTCCTTTCCTCTCTGAAATCAATAAAAAATAAATGTAAAAATAAATAAAAATAAAAGCAAATTTCCCTGTCCTTTGTAAACCCAGGTTTGCTTGCACACTTTCTCTGCTAGCGCCCGTCCCCCTCCCTCCCCCGTGGTCCACCCATCCTCATTCCAGAGTGCCTGACATTCATTAGCTTCATAAAATAAAGACCTTAACCGCTCCAGAGCGGAGCTCTAGGCTCCTGCTGGCCTTTCCTCAGGTAAATAGGGTATCAGGTTCCACTTGAATCCCTGAGGGAAGGAAGCCAGCCGCCCAGCTTTTAACGCAGGTGTTTTACCTGCACCTACAGGACGGTGGTTAACATCTTTCCGGACCCGATTTCTATCACTTCCCATTCCAGCGGTGTTGCTAATCAGCCTAGTTCATGCCCTTTCCTCCCTCTGCTCTAGACCAGCGCCACCAAAGCGCGTCCCAGGCCAGCACCCTCTGGGGACTCCTTAGAAAGGCAAGTGATGGGGCTGGCGTCCAGCCCTAAGGAGCCGTTCAACCATGTGTCATGACGACCCCAACAGGTGACTCCCCGAGGGAACCTAACGTCTGACAACCATTGACTTCGGTTATTTCTATAACCACAAACTGATGATCGTTCCGGCACACTGAGTGTGGCCTGGCAAAGGCTCTGTACATGAGCGCTCACGGGCTCCTCGCCCCTGACGCAAACTGCGTTTCCCCCGCTCCGGGGCCGGCCAGGCTCAGGTCCCCACGATAATCGCTGCAGGTGGGAGGTGAGTGTTTGTAGCTTTTCTCACCATTGAAATAGAGGTCCATCGCATTTATTAACCAAGGCTCTATATTTCGCTTTTTTAGCTTTTGGCAATTGGGGGCGGGGGGTGAGGATGGGGGACGGGAGAGAAGAAATGGATGGGTGAGAGCTGCGTGCCAGCTGCTTGGTCCCACCGGATCGGGGTCTCAGGGCGCGATTCGGGAAGGGGTTCTTCCAGCGAAGGACGTTTAATTTGGACTTTGGCGGTGGGACTGCCCGTCAGACAGGGGAGTTGGGACTTGGGGGCGAGCCGCACCTCTCCCCGCCGCCGGCATCCCTGACGCAACAAGTGGTCCGGAGAAGGGAGCCGGCCGAGCGCCCTGCGGCTCCGCGCCTTGGGGACCGGTTTAGGGAGAAGCTGGCACCCCGAAAACCCGGGGGCGCTTAACCCGACACCACAGCCCCGGGGAGACGGCGGGCGGTGAGCCTGAAGCCCTCAAGGGCCGCGCGGAAGGGGAAGGAAACCGCAGTCCCACCGGGTCCGAGTGAGGCGCAGAAGCGAGAACGGAACGGAGGGGGGCATCCCAGGAGATGGAAGTCGGGGCTGGAGTGGAGAGAAAGGGGCGCCCCAGGAGGGGGAGGTGGGGGGCTGGAGTGGAGAGAAGGGGAGCCCCAGGAGATGGAAGCGGGGCTGGAGTGGAGAGAAGGGGAGCCCCAGGAGGGGGAAGTGGGGGGCTGGAGTGGAGAGAAGGGGAGCCCCAGGAGATGGAAGCGGGGGGCTGGAGTGGAGAGAAGGGGGCACCCCAGGAGATGGAAGCGGGGGGCTGGAATGGAGAGAAGGGGAGCCCCAGGAGATGGAAGCGGGGCTGGAGTGGAGAGAAGGGGAGCCCCAGGAGATGGAAGCGGGGCTGGAGTGGAGAGAAGGGGAGCCCCAGGAGATGGAAGAGGGGGGCTGGAGAGAAGGGGAGCCCCAGGAGATGGAAGCGGGGCTGGAGTGGAGAGAAGGGGAGCCCAGGCGGTGGAGGCGTGGGGGGTTGGGCCAGTACTCACTGTGCGGGTCGCTCTTCTCGCGCACCCCGTCCACGCGGCCGTCGGGGTGGATGCGCAGGAAGAAGCCCCCGTTCTTGCAGTAGAGCCGCTTGGGGTCCTTGAAGTGGCCGGGCGGGAAGGCGCCGCTGCCGCCGGCGTCCGGCAGGGCGGGCATCGTGGTGATGCTCCCGGCGGCCATGGCCCCGCCGGGGCTCTGCCGGGGCCCCCGAGCCCCCCGGCCCCGGCCTCGGCCTCCCACCCGCTCCGAGGCGCGGCCCCGGCCCCGGCCCCCCAGCCTCCCGCCCGGCGGCCCCCGGCCACGGCCGCGGGCCCCCCGCCTCGTGCCGCTCGGCCCGGCCCCCTCCGCCGGCCCCGGGAGCGGGGACCTGGGGCTGCGAGGCTCCGCGGCCGCCACGCTCGGGAGGGAGGGCCGCTCCCCTCCGCCGCAACGCCCGCGACCCGGTTGCAGCTGCGGGCACGGCGTCCACCGTCTGGCACAGCCGGGCCGCGGCGTCACATCTTCTCTTCTCCGCCCCCCGCACCCACCGCCCCCCCCCCCCGGGCTCCCCGCCTCCCGGCGCCGCCCCCCGCCCGCTCCGGGCCGCTGCACGCAGGCGCGCGAGGTGGGCCCCGGGGGCCGAGCTCCACCCGGCCGGTTCCCCCCGAACTCGCCCCCGCCCAGCCCCGACCCGCCGAACCACGTTAGGTATTTCTGAGCTGAGGAGCTCTTGCTGCGCAGCCAGCAGTGACTCAATCTTTAAAGTTTAAATGCAACTTGCTCCCCATTCTTTCCCAGGGCCAGCGTTCCAGTGCAGAGAAGCAATGTCCACCCCCTAGAAGTAGAGAAGTCAGAATAGGGGGCGGGGTCCTGTGTCAGAGTAGGATTTGAATGTCTCTAATCACCCAGAGAGAGGGGGTATGCGCGGGACACAAACTGTTAAAACCAAAGGCACAGGCTGAAGTCATTTACCCGAAAAAAGGAGGGAGAGAAAGAGGCCAGAGGAGGGGAGCGGGCTGGGTTGCTAAGAGGAGAGATTTTCTTTCGCCGACCTAGTAAGAGTACAAGACTGCGTGGGAAAATGAAGAGCCTTATCGTGACAGCCTGGTGTTCATGTCTTCAGTCCAAGGGTCACTAACCCTTGCTAACTCATTAGGCATTTCTCGGAGACAGGGTAGTTTTGTGAAAATCCTGACTACAGAGATAAAGTTAGTAGCATTTTGGTAGCTTTCAGTAGAATATAGCAGGCACTAAGATTAGGAAAATACCCATCCATAAACCTTTATATACCGAGCGCCCACTATGCGCAAAGAAAGCATCGGTAAGTGCAGTGGGAGATGCCCGATGGGGTGGGACCTTCTGGCACAGGGAGGGGGACTCTGGGGGCAGGAGCGACACAAACACCACTAGGGAGTGTCAAGGGGAGAAGAGTGAGATTCCAGCAGAGGTAAGTAGCTTGGGGACAAGTAGGGGTAGGGACAGCTTCCAGGAAGAGGTGAGGACACAGAAGTTCCTCTATTCAGGAACATGTTTGGTTTCAAAAGATCATGAGTGCATTTGTTCATAAGTCTCCAAGAGGGGCTTATCTCTAGATGCATTTCTAGGAGTAAGAGTCGATCCTTTGGAGCTTTAAAACTGGACATACTCTCCTCTGGGCTGGTGTATGTTCTCTGCTATCTCTCTCCAGAATGGGCAGGTTTTATCTGCCTTGAGAACCTAATTAAGACAATTCCCTTCCAGGTGATCTCTGTAGGCATCCCAAGGAATGCTTGCTGCTACTATAGCACCTGAGGAAGAGAGTGAAGAAATAAAATGGAGTCACTACAATCAAGCTGCTAAAATACTAAAATAATTTATTTTAAATTAAAACAGGAATACTGTTTTAACTAGCCCAGGAACTTAAACTCCTGAACTTGCCAGTCCCTGTCATTAAACCTCCAGATAGCCTTCTGATTGCCCCCTGAAGGACTAAGGAAAGATTGTTCTTGTATCCAGACCACCTGACATCCATTATCCAGACAACCGGTCATCTAGATCTGTGGTCAGCAAACTGCGGCTTGCGAGCCACATGCAGTTCTTTGGCCCCTTGAGTGTGACTCTTCCACAAAATACCACGTGCGGGCGCACACGTACCATGCGATTGAAACTTGATGGCCCATGCGCAGAAGTCGGTTTTTAGCTCTCAAAAGAAATTTCAATCGTTGTACTGTTTGGCTCTGTTGACCAATGAGTTTGCTGACCACTGATCTAGAGGATCATCATCTTGGACCAGCACAGAGGCTAACAATGCAGGACTGATTCTTCTCATGAGTGTACATTTTAATTTATTATAAGAACTCTTAGCTTTTTTCTCTTGCTTGGAATATTCTGGGTTTTGCCTACTTGTGTTTCTGGTTTGTAAACCCTAAGACCCTTGAATAAATCTTTATCATTTATTTCTAGCCAGAGCCTCCAGAGTCTTCTTGAGTTCATTCAACAAGCTCATCAGGTTACCAATGATCTTAAAGTAAAGCAGATTTAAACAAGCCTTGAACTCTGTGGTGCAGAAACCTGAGTCTTCTAAGAGCAAATGGATAATAAGGCCTAAGTCAAAGTATTTTTTAACAGGATGTCTGACAGTGAGGCAAAGGTGTACTGACCACCATAACAAAAGGTAACTTCAGACCAAAAGACGAAGAAGGCAACTCCATAGGATATAATAGAATTTATTATATTATAGAGTACTTTACTTAAAGGAAGATGGGGTCAGAGCAGAAGAGTTGACCCAGCAATTTTGCACAATTATTATCTGCTAAACTCCTGTTACTGTCCAGTTTTTACAGTATAAGTCAGGCACTAGTGATTGACAAGGCAAAGGGACAAAGAACGCAGTAGTGCCAAGGGCCTCCTGGTGGTCATCCTATCTCCAGTTTGATATTTATATCTGTTGTCATGCCATTCCATACGTTACTCACAAAAATATTTATGGCTACATTTTAAGAAACAGATAATCATCAATTATCAATAGAAAGTTTTGATACACTTGCTATGGACAGCGAGGTTGATCAAAGGTCACAGCCTGATAGGACAAAAATATGGAAATGGTTTTTGTTTTCATCTACACTTATGCACAATAGTAACCAGAAATTTTGGGAATAGATACAAATAATTAAGTAATGTGTATGCAGACCTTGTGGGACTGCATTCCAGGCACAATAACCCCTTGTTTCATAGTCCGATCAAAACCAGGAGAGATGTCACAAGAAATGATTAATTCAGCTCTGGGTATCTAGGTTTCCAAGACAAACAGTATTAATTCCAAGGAGACATCATTAAGATACTTGTCTCAAGTTCCTACCCAGCCCCCTCCCAACACACACTTGTACACACACAGACACACTATTCTTTGATGCAATCAACTTGCTCTCAGCTGAACCATGAGCACTCAAATTACTTACATTCTCAATTTACCCAATTATAAGGATGAACTGGAAAATAACGTCAATTTTAAAAAACAGAACCAATAGGAGAAATTTTGTAAGATGATGAATATAAAATTCATTATTAAAAAAAAAAAAAAAAAACTAGTAGGTTCCAGAGATGACAATTTAGGAACTATATAAAGGAAAGAGGAATTTTCCTCATAATACCAAAATAAATTATGTTGGAATTAATAGTAATTGCTCATAATCTAAATAATGAAAAACACAAAAATTTAGTGACAACTTTAAAAAAAAAACTCATAAATGTTCCTGGATGGAAGCATATAGTAAAATAATGTAAAATTTTTCTATCCATATTTAAAAACTTTAAATAATACTAGTTCAAATTCTAATACAATTTTAAAACTATACAACAATATTATAAACTCCATTTGGGTAAATAAACTTGGGAATAATGAATTCACTTTTTAGATTGTAGGGGCAAATATAAAAGCTTTTAAATGGACAAAAAAAGATTCTTAGGCCTTCAGCCTCGGCCTGGGAGTCCCATCGGGCTGCCCTGGTTTTCTGGCTTCCAGACGCAGTAAGGGAAACCACCAGCTCTCCTGGTCCTCAGCTTGTCGATGGCAGACTGTGGACTCACCGGAGAAGGGCTCTGCTCAGAATGTCAGGAGTGCCTTTGCAATAATCACACCCTTTCCACGGTAGAAATTAGAATTTACTCATTACAGGCCACTGGCTCTGGTGCCCTTCCAGTAGCAAACTGCTTGTGTCAGCAGCTGGATACTAGGGGAGTAAAGTAACTCCAGAAGAGGCTCATCAAACTTTTCTTGCCTATTAATGAAAATGAAATATCATATTTGTGAAGTTCTATGAAAGGAAACATTGGTTGATTCTTGTATGTGTCCTGACTGGGAATCAAGCCCAGAACCCTGGCATATTGTGATCGATGCTCTATCAACTGCTCTACCCACCCAGGGCATGATTTTACTTTTTAAATAATAAGAGTAATGAGGAGAAACTTACCCTTTCAGATGTTAAAAGGCATTATAAACCTGTTAAATATAAAACATTGTGGAACTGATGCATGAGATGATTGAAGAGCCAATGCAATTTAATCTGATTACATTTTCAGAGTGTATCTGAACTGATTATATAATAAGCTGCCACAAAACAATATTTTAAAAATTTCAGTATCACTAAGTAATAATGTATGTCAAGTAATAATAATAATAAAAAAAACTCCCCCGAAAGACAAGCCCAGCACCAAATGGTTTCATTTTCAATTGTTCCAGAAAGAATAAAATATTTAGGAATAAATTTAACCAAAGAAGTACTCTTTGACAGTGTGCAGGCCAACGCTCTAGCCACTGACCCAAACCCGCTAGAGCAATGAAGGAATATTTTTAAAGATGAACTTAAGACTATTTTCTTTTTAAAACATCTTTATTGATTACTTGAATTTGGATTTTTTTCATTTTTTATTATTCATTTTTAATTAGTTCAGAAGCCCATAAATACAGTATCTTTCTAAAAAATGAAAGCATTACAGATAGTGGACTCTACCCCCAATCCCAGTCATTGCCTCTTCTCCCCAGATGAAACCATTGTCCTTATTTGTTATGTATCATTCCCAATCCACATGTGTGCATTTATATCCATGTGTTTAGCCAGAGGAAAGATACCATTGTTTTGTAGGAGTGTGTGTCTGTGCATAATGCTGTAGACATAATGTTGTCCTTATCTTTCAGCCCCTTGCTTTATCACTCAATGTACATCTTGGAAATTTTTCCATGTTACTTAAGTATGAGCTGCGTTGTTCTCATTTGAACTGCTATAGAGAATTCCAGAGTAATACATTCACTCCTCTGAGGCATTCTCTGACCAGTGTTCAAGCAAGGTGGACACAGGTCTTTGCTGTTATGTCCAGAGCTAAACCAACCATCTTCATATTTGCCTCGCTGTGTATATATTTAAGTTTTTCTCCAAAGCTATAACTAGCAATAGCTTTGTTGGGTCCCTGCTTTTTCAGTTCTTAGGGACACTGCTAAATTCACCTTCAGAGTGACTGTACTGAGTTATATTCCCACCAA